GGTTTTTTTACTTAATTAATATTAACTATTTTTTAAAGTTAAACATTAATAAATTTATAAAAATAAATTACAATTTTTTATATAACTTTTCCACCACATTTTTTCCCTACTTTTATGAGAAATAATGTAGTCACGTGTCCCGTTATGTCATTTTTCATGTTTTTGGGGGTTAGCTCACCTTTGCAGGATCGCGACCCTTTGTTCCTACCATTGTACCATGTGTGTCCACATTGAATATCAGACCGCTTGTCAAAAATAAAGGTACATCGAACATATATGGAGTTATCCAATATTTCCCTGCCATGAAACTTAGGTTCACGAATTTATGCCAAACTTTCACCTCGACGTATATGTTTTTGAGTGTGCTCATTTTTGTAGTTCAAAATAAACAAATAGTGAATTCGATATAATAATTATAAATCCTACTTTATCTATTTCTTAAAAAAACAACTAAATATGACCATGCAGGTTGATAGTTGGAATTAATTAACCAAAAATTCTGCTTGTACAGAATACGGTTCCACATAAGAAAATCAGAAAAGAGACATGGGGCCCATCCCATGTCAATTTTATATTGAAAAAAATAAACCGCCCACCCCCCTGCATGTGTCTTGTCTGTATTGTTTCTGTACGTGCATTTCTGGACGTTTAGAATAATTCTTAATTAACCATCCCAATTCCCATCTTAACACTAGCAGATTGATTTGTTGTTTAATAATTTCTGGTGAATTCTAAGAAACACACATTAATCAAGAATTATTTTCGAAATTACTACAGGTTTTAAAAGTTCATCATTAAATGAAGATTTTATCTTTTGATCTGATCTTAAACAAACTTAAATGAATTAAATAAAGACTATTAGGTCAGTTGGGAGCCACTAAAATACTGTATCTACAAACCCAAAGAAAAGGATAGAATCAAGGGGACAGACTGGTTATTCCCCTTAAGTTTATACAAGTGGGTTTGCTAGTTTTGCTTTTGGGGGAACCAATGTCTTGTCAGGGTGGGTAGCCAAGTTGGGAGAAAAGCACTATCTCATAAATTTGCCTCTGGTTGATGGAGATTAAAATTAAATTTTGATAAAAGTTAGCCCTCGTTTGACACTCATTTTTTATCTCAATCTCATTCTCATTTTTCTACAGTACTCATTTCTAACCACACATTCTTCAAATAAAATAATATTACATATAAACCCAAAAATTCTTCTTACTTTTTAACCACACATTCTTTACATCAATCACTATTCAAAAACTC